ATCCACGGTTTCGCGCCTTTTTTGGCCCCACAGAGGGTTTGCTCCAGGGCTAGCACCTGAGTGACAGTCAGAATCCAAAGACATGTTGTTTTTACACAGCGAAAAGTTTACACAGAGAAGATGTTACACACAGAAGCCTTTACACAGAGAGGGATTTACACAGAGCAGCTTTTACACAGACGCTTTTGCACACAGACGCTTTTACACACAGAAGCTTTTGCACAGAAAAGCCTTTTCTAAAGAAGCCTTACCACATGAACCCTTTACACAGAGCAGCTTTACACACAGACGCTTTTTCGCAAAGAAGTCTTTACACACAGGAACTTTAACGCGCAGATGCCCAAGCTTTTACGCACAGGAGCTTTTGCACACACACGCCTTACAAAAAGAAGCTTTTAGACACAGAAACTTTTACAGCCTTTTCACAAGAAAGCTTTTACACAGAAGCTTTTGCACAGAGATGCCTTTACAAACAGAAACTTTTACACAGAAGCTTTTACTCAGAGAAGCCTTTAAACAGAGCAGCTTTTACAGACACAGAAGCTTTTACACAGAGAAGATTTTGCACAGAGAAGCATTTTCACAGACAAGTGTTTGCGGGAAGGAACTTTGAGCACAAACGGTTTTTAGATACAGCAGCTTTCACACAGAGAAGCTTTTGCGCGGACCAGCTTTTACACTCAGGTTTGTTTTCACAGAGCAGCGTTTACGCGGAGCAGCTTTTACACACCGAAGTTTTGACGCAGAGAGGCCTTTACACAGAGAAGCTTGTACACACAGAAGCTTTTACACACCGACACCTTCGCACACACACACACAGATGCCGGTACACAGAGCAGCTTTGACACACAGACGCTTTTACACAGAGAAGCCGTTACACAGAGCAACTTTTACACAGCGCGGCTTTTACACAGAGACGCCTTTACACAAAGAAGCTTTTCTACACAAACGCTTTTACGCATAGAGGCCTTTACACACAGAGGCTTTTATGCACAGAGGTTTTCACACGGAAGCTTTACATAGAGAAGCTTTTACACAGAGAAGCGTCTAAACAGAGCATCTTTAATACACAGAAGCATTTACACACACACACAAGCTTTACACACACGCCTTTGCACACAGAGCTTTTACACACAGACGCTTTTACGCATAGAAGCTTGTTCACAGAGCAGTGCTTACACAGAGCACAGAGAGAGGCCTTTGCACAGAGCAGCTTTTACAATCTTATACGCGCAGAAACTTTAAACACGCCCTTGTAAAATCGCAATTTTACACAAGTTTTATTTCGCGCGAAACGGTTGTGCCTGACGTTTCAAAAGGGATAAAGTCGCAATTCTACACCAATTCTTGAACGTTGGCATCTGACGTTAAAAAATCACAGTTTTCTCACAGTTATTGCCGTTTGACTTTCATGCCACGCTTGCATCTGAACTTTCAAAATCACAATTTTACACCAGTTTTTGACGGTTGACCCTCATTTCGTGCGAAGGGGCTGTGCCGGGCCTCACCAAATTTGCATTTTGCCACATGTTTGGATGTCCGACCTGCGCGATCTCTGAAGAGGGTTGCCCGTGCCCAAAAGAAATTCACATTCCACCACATGTTTGGGCGTTCGAAACGCACGATCTCCGCAGACGGCTGCTGCGTGCAAAGAAGTTTCGCATTTCACCACACCACATGTTTGCCCATCCGACACGCGCCATCTCCGCAGAGGGTTGCCCAAGGACAAACAAGACCCGCATTTCGCCACACGTTTGGGTGTCCGACATGCCGCAGAGGGTAACGTTATGAAAATCTTACCAGCAAACTCTGAGGGTTGTTGGTTATTTATTTTTGACATTTTTTTGTCATTTGGTTTTTGCATTTTTTTGTCATTCCTGTTTTGTGGTGTCATTTTTTTTGTCATTTTTTTGTCATTTGTTAAGTCATTTTTTGTCATTTTCTTGTCATTTTTTTTGTCATTTTCTTGTCATTTTTTTGTCGTTTTCTTGTCGTTTTCTACTTTCTAGCTTTGTTCATTTTCTTGTCGTTTTCTCATAATGATCAGGCAAGCGGTGAAGGTGGCAAACCCGGTCTAGGAAATGCAAAAAAATGCCAAAAAAATGACTCCTAGTCTGGTTTTTTTTGCAAAAACAATGCAAAAAAATGCCAAAAAAAATGCGAAAAACATGCAAAAAAACATGCCAAAAAAATGACTCGCGTGCTGGTAAAGTTGCGTTTTTGGAGTTTCCAGGTCGGCCCCGCTTCTCGGGCCTGAGCCGCCCCCCCCGGGCCATTTCACCCCGGACCCCGTTTTTGAGCCGGCCCTGCACCCCGAGCCGGGAGACAACTCCTCGTCCAGGCAGGCCCAAAAACGAATTGCACTTGTTCCTTGTATTTGGTGCTGCCACGAGATAACAAAAGGTCTGTCATGGTAATAATTTTTTAACATTTTTTTTCTCCATTTTCCCGTTCCCAAAATGACAATAAAATGACAATAAAATGACAAACAAATGACAAAAAAATGACAAAGAAATGACAAAGACATGACAAAAAATGACCAAAAAATGACAACACAAATCCAAAATGACAAACCCAAATGCAGAAAAATGCAACAAAAATGCAAAAAATGACAAAATAATTATTTTGGAATTTCCAATGTTTGCAGGCCCAAGATTTTCCTAAGGGTAACGATTCGTAAGCCACCGCCTGGCTGTCCCTGCCACCAGAGAGAAATAGAAGAACTGGAGAAGTCTGATTTTGCAGGAGTTCAGATACAATTTGATCACCTGGAAGTTAGCTGAACCCCTGTGTAGCAACTCCTGTGTAACAATTTCTGTGCAAAATGACCTTGCCGGCAGGAGCCTTGTAGGAGTTCAAGTAGAAATGGATCACCTGCAAGTCAACTCCTGTGTAAATGACACTGTTCAAGTTTTGTAGGAGTTCCCTAGAAGTTGATCACCCGTAGCTGGTGTAGGTGATGTTGTCTATGTTGTAGATGATGAGGATGGTGTTGTAAGTGATGTAAGGTTAGATAGATTTGAAGATGTAGGTGATGTATAGGATGCAGTGATATAGATGATGATGTAGGTTATGTATGCGCTGTAGGTGATGTATATCATGTAGATGAGGTTGATGGAAAAAGATTGTGTAGGTGATGTAGATGGTGTAGGTGAGATAGATGATGGTGATGATGATGATGGTGGTGGTGATGGTGATGATAATCATGATGATGTAGGGAAGATGGTGCAGAAGATGTAGTTGACGTGGGTGATGTAGAGGATGTAGTGATGTAGATGGTGATGTAGGTAATGTATGTATTGTACATAAAGCATGTCATATAGATGAGGTTGATGGAAAATGTGTAGGTGGTGTAGATAATGTAGATGAGACAAATGTAGGTGATGATGATGATAATGATGATGATGATGATGATGGTGATAATGATGATGATGGTGTAGATGTAGATGTAGATCTAGAGAAGATGGTGTAGAAGACGGTATAGAAGATGTAGGTGATGTAAAGGACAAAAGAGATGTGGATGATGTATGTTAGGTAGATGAAGTGAAGAGTGAGGCGGACAGCAGTTCTTTGGGAAAAAACCTTCGCACGAGCTTCGGGAATTTTGGCCACAGTATTGCGAACGCTTTTGGAAAAGCGGTTTTTCATAAAGTGTTTGTGCTGTGATTGCGCCTTGTACGCCCGACCTCTAGATTAAGAAGGGCGGGGCAATAAACATACTTCACTCATTGGGTGTTTGGCAACTGTTTTTGTTTCTGGCTGTTGGGGATACTCTTTGGGCTTATTTTTAATATAAAATGGTTTATATAGAGTGTAAACTGGATGTTGCTTTTGGTGTGGTTTTACCTGGCTGGCGTAAGGATTGCGTAGGATTGGCGTAGGCATTTTTCAAGGTTCCAAATATCTTCTGGTTTGCGTAGGCAACATTTCATTGTATTTCAAATGCTCGTACATGATCGGCGTTGGAATCTCACGCTTTAAAATTGATTCAATGTTATCCACAAAAGGTTCAAAGGCACCGGGTTCATTCATGGATAGTTGTCTATACGAACAAACCGTGGAACTTGCCCGGAAGAGCAGCTATACAAAGGCAGCGGAGCAGCTTAAACCGTCTTGATGTTCCTCGCTTTCCACCTGCTTGTTGCTAGATGGGCCATATTAGCTCTTGCTTAAGAGGAATGTTTCACCAGATTCCTGCCAGGAGGCCCCTGGAACAGGCGTAGGCTTCGCGTAGACTTCGCGTAGGCACCGCGTAGGCTCGGGTGCCCGGACTGACCACCAGCCCACGTCCGCACCAGTCCATATTCGACACATTGAACCGCCCAGAACTGCCCTTCACCAAGCTAGCGACAGTCGAACACGTCGCTTGGCTTGACTCCAGCATAGTCAAAAGTTACTAGCTGAGTCTTCAGTGATTTATCATGATTTATCCACCAGATGTTTAGTGTGCGCTTTGGGACCTGGTTGCTGGTGCGGCTGCTGCACATGGGTGTGGCTGCAAGATGTCTATGGGCGCTTTGGAGCCTGGGCGCTCGTGCTGCAAAAATGTGAATGGGACTGTGGTCGCGTAGGCAAAAGTTCCGTTTCCAACCTTCCAAAAGCAAACAGAAGTGTGACGGCGTAGGCAAAAACATACATTGTGGCGTCGCTTTATGCGTGCGTTGGGCCTGCGTAGGCACACCTTCAAAGGGATGAGCCGCGTAGGCTCCCACTGTGGCCGCGTAGGCATTGCGTAGACAGTGGCGTAGGCAGCACAGGAGTAGACGGACCCAGACAACAAAAAAAAACACAGCTCACATGAAATTTCACCTGTTTTTTTTCTGGTTAAATCACTACATCCATATCTTAAATCACCATTGAATCAGCTTATCTTTGTTGGTTAATTCATGTCAAATCATGATTTGCATCATGATAGCTCCATAGCTCCCTAGCACTATGAAACCATAGATTTTTTGGTGGTTAAATCGCCCAGTCCTTGAGCTTCCGACCCCCAAAAAAAAATCCGCGACGTCGGCAAAATGTCGGTGGATTCCTCGTCCTCCTGCAGCTCCAGTAGCTCTGATTCCAGCAAGGGAAAGGCACTGTGGCACCTCGGTTCCATATCTTGTTGGGAAGTTTTGGCAAGTTTGTTTGGGATTCTGACATGGGATAATGGGATTTTTATCTGGTTGGTGGTTTGGAACATGATTTGTCTTTTTCCATATATTGGGAATAATCATCCCAACTGACGAACTCATATTTTTCAGAGGGATTGAAACCACCAACCAGATATGATATGATATGAAAATAGGAATCGGTCCCATTTTGCCAGAATTTGTTTTGGCAGATATACCTCACTAGAAGTGATATGATATAATAATTACATTGAAAATATGATATAATGATAATGACAATGATGATGATGTGATATGATATTTCAACCATGGATGATATATAGTAATTACCTCACTAGATATGATATGATATGATATGATATGAATCATGATATACATGTGATATTATCAGGCATATTTACATAATATAGTTATATATATATATATACACGAATATCATATATATATATATATCATATATATATTTATTTATTTATGTTATGTTATGTTATGTATTTATTTCATGTGTGTATATATTATATATTGGATGTGAACTTCAAGTTTCGCAAGCAAAATGCGCATTGGTGCAAGAACAAAATTCATCTTTGTTCTGTCATAGCCGGTCGTGCCCCATTTATCCCCCACCCCAGTTGCATCCACCTTTGCGGACCCCAAGACCATTCAACATGGGTCATGTTGAATGGAGTACCCTTCAACTAACATAGATGTGGAAAAAACAACATCTGCCGATCATTTTCCGAAACCATTGGTTTTCCACCTCTATGTTAGTTGACCCCAGGGTAATCAATGCTTTTGGGTACGCTTTAGGAAACAACCAGCCGGCTAGAAGATGATCACCGACAGCGCCATTTTCTGGGGCTTGCAGACATATGAACACGCTTTGATATGAAAGTAGGGTACATAGAATCTTATCCTAAACTCCATGGTTGAAAATATGTCCCAACATTTTATGGTTTAAACCTAGTTCAAACCATGGTTTTCCATATTTGTCTTAGTATATAAAATTGTGAAAACATGTGCAAGATGAGGCCCTCTAGATAGCCAAGTTGACCTACAACTTGGGAAACTAGCCATAGGGTTTTGGTGGATATGATATAACTATAATCATCTATTAGTTCATGGGTTTACAATCCAACAAACATAACTGGGAACCCCTCCCCTTTGAAGTAAATCCCACCATTTTTGGCCAAACGCCTGGTGCATAGGTGGCATGCCTGGCTACACATCTTCGTTTCAGCGCCTTGGAAAACGATGGATGGGATACCGTGGGCAATGGGATTGTGAGTTAGTTCATTATTGACTGGATCGTTCCCCCATTCCCTCTGGTAACGTAGCTGTAGAAAATCATCATTATTCATGGGTAACTCAACTATAAATGGGCCATTTTCAATAGCTATGTTAGTCATTACCAGAGGGTACTATTATATAGTATCGTACCATAGATGGTAAATATCCATGGTGAATGTAGTAACTCAACTATTTCTATGGCAATGTTCAATAGCAAACTGCTGGTCATTACCGGAGGATAAATCCCATATCATCCCATTAATCACCAATGTTAACCCATTGTTAAACCATGAAAATCACCATTAAATCACCATCAAATCATTACATGTCGCAGCAGTACTTAAAAAAAGAAAGAGGGGCATTGATCTCGATATCTGGATGAATTCACTAGTGCACGAACTCCTTTGAATTGACCTGTGACGTCGTGACGTCGCTGGAATAATGGGAATTGGATTCGGGCAATCATTGATTCAGGTTAGTGAGATATTGCAGTTTATCCAGATTGATAAACCAAATTCAGAGGGAGATATAAGTATGCAAAATGATGGTACAATCGGAATATCAAGGAATTTTAGCCTAAAGAATTGATTCTTCCAACTTAGCAACTGGATAGTTGCTATAGTTTACTATACCTTACAACTGGAGTGAACAAACCACCTTCAAAACTGAGGTGAACACTAAGCAAAATGATGAAACACGACAGACAGGATAACCCAGCGCAGTTTTTTCTAACATGAACTATTTTGAAATCTAGGATTTCCTGCACATGTTCAGATGAATCGATTCTAGTTTTCAGTTGAAAAACATGTTAGAAAAACTGCAAATGCTATCCTGCCTATCAACCATGCTATCCTCAAGATCAAGCATCATCCCAGTGCGTTGGACCTGCGGCGTGCGGACTGGTCCTCTTAGGGGTCCAACAAGTGGCTGGTGAGACCCTCAAAAAACACACGATTTGCATGATGTTGAGGTCATGTTTTGGCATATGGGGTGGCTGTCATCGTATTTTATTGGGTGTAAAATGATTACTGATTTTGTTGGCACATTGGTATTGTTACCATTTGCCTTTGCTCTCTTTATTTACTTTTACTGTACTTTCCAAGCTTTCATATGTTGGATTGTAGAGCTAAAATACGACAATGACAATGATTATAGGATGTGGACATCCTCATTTCTCATTGTAAAAAATGTCGGTTCTCAAAAATGATACTCTAAGTTGAAAGTGAACGAATTGCCATGAATACCTTTAAAATCCTTTCAACATAAACTGATCTTTACATCCATGGATGATCTCGGTTTTTCAGGGTCTTCCCCAGTGGCGTTACCTTTAGATTCGCAGGTCGTGGGGACTTCTGCAATCGCGTCCTTACCTTTGGCCTTTGCCTATTTGGGATGGTGGATCGGTCTCATCGAAGCTCGGACAGCTCGGAATCGAAGGAATCGCCATGACTTGGAGGGCGAACTGGTACAGTGAAAAATCCATGGAAATTGGTGGACGAATACCTGTGAACTAGCATCATTGTGTATTTCTTTAATCGGCCAATTGATTGAGAGATGATTTAGAAGAAACCTCTTTTACCACGTTTAAACATGGTGTGTTGTTCATATATGGTAAATTACCAGAGATTATACTTCATGTCAACAGATTGGAAGCTACCTTCATGATCTCTTTTGTGTGACCCTCAGAGGCCAAGTCATGGTTTGATCTGAAAATTGGGTGCCCATAGCATTTCTTAAGGCAACCACTACTTAAGGTGTTTTCATTCCATTTGCAATCACAAACACATCCGAATAGTTTTTGAAACTCCTGTTACGAATGGGGCGGATGGCTGGTGGCACAAGATGAACAAAGAACGCAGGACATTTCGGCTGGGTAATTCACATATTGCAGTTCATGTCCGATTGTTTTAGCAGAACGCAACCGAAACGGGTAGTCTGAGAGAGAGAGAGAGAGAGAGAGAGAGACAGAGAGAGAGAGAGAGAGAAAGAGAGAGAGAGAGAGAGGGGTGGGGAATGTGATTGGGTAAACGATGTCACAGCGATCTCATCCAAGAAACATGCTTGGTGAATTTGCCAACGATGCTGATTGTTCTGCTTTGTTGTTTTTATGTTCCTGATGCTTTCTTGGCAAAACTGTGTGTATCCACATCATCATCATCATCATCATCATCATCATCCTAATCGTCATCCTCATCGTCATCCTCATCGTCACCGTCACCGTCATCGTCATCGTCATCCTCCTCATCATCATCATCATCCTAATCGTCATCCTCATCGTCATCCTCATCGTCATCGTCACCGTCACCGTCATCGTCATCGTCATCGTCATCCTCCTCATCATCATCATCATCATCCTCCTCATCATCATCATCATTATCCTCCTCATCCTTATCCTCATCGTCATCCAGCCTGTCGTGTTTGACTGGATTCGAAGATTGTCTCCGCTCATGTTGATCCCATAGCACCCATCATCCAAATTGATGGGCAAGAAAATGTCGATGCGGACATGGGCAGGTCAATGCCACAGAAATTCAATTTTTGTAAGTTGCCAAGTCACTATCTCTCCATTATATATGTGTCCTCTTTGTTTTAGGGTGGGTACAGTGCACCGGTGTTTGACCCATATCCAATGTGAGTAGCAATTCATCACATCCAATGCTGGGTTTGACCAGCCAATTAACTTGAGGTGTGTCCAGATCCATCACCTTCAGGGGCTGATACTCCCAGCCATGAGGCTCCGTTTTTCAATCTTGATTTGTCGGAAAATAGGGCACCCCAAAGTACCACAATTACAAAGCCGGTATCTTTCCATGCCATGGCCATGAAGCAGGGGCAAATTTCCAGTTTGGAGACCTAGTGTCGGCTGATCATCTCGGTAAGCAGACCAGTGTCATACGGTTCATGGCGATTGTTGCCTCAAGAGTCCTGACGCTCAAAATTGCACATTCGATTTCTCGTGCCGATGACGCCCTTGAGTTTGCGTTTAGTTGCCGTAACCTGGTAAAGAATCAAGCCAAATCTAGTCAAGCCCAAGAACCGCGATGGCTTCATGCAAGCGACGGCGCATGTCTTCGAGCCGGGCATCAGTTTGCTGGCGTCCTAAGGATTCAGCTGGCGTCCTCCCTGAATCGCGGAGCGGCCCTCTTTTTCCCCATGTCTAAAAGGAAAAATCAAGAAAACTTAGAACCAGCTTTAAACATGAAGGCCGAATGAACATTTTCAATTGCATTGCAAAAAAGGATAATCCTATCAGCAGCTGAAACTGGCGAGCCTTAACAACCTCCTCAAGAACAACCATGGTTGGCAAGGAAACGGCTGAATAGCGTAACCGTTTTTCTGGTCGGAGCTGATAGTGATACCACTTTTAGGTTTTTTTTTGCGGTAAATTCCAGATCAGCGCAGCACAGCTCTACAATAAATATGTTTTAAGAAGCATGGCTCAACGTTGGCACGCTGCAGCCAAGGTCTGGGTTTACGCCACGTGGGCGTCGTACTACAGCGGGCGGCTTTTGATTCAATTGCAAGGTCCTCATCAGGCCAGGACACAGGAGGATCAAGGTCCTTTGCAAGGGCGGAAAAATATTGGCACATGACGGGCACCCAAGCAGGCGGATGGTCATTGCTAGTGTGCGTTTCTTCCATGCCATATTCCGAAACCATTTCTTGTCCGGTTGGTTTCCATTGGAACTGATTCTTCTATATAGCCAGCCAGAATTTTGTTTACACAACCCATACCTGAGTTCTCCTATGTGGTCCTGTATTTTGGGGACCTGGGAAAACCAATAGATTGGATTTTGGCCAGTTGCCGCACGTTTTCCAGATCTCCAAACAACACGCCACCAACGTGAATCGAAGGCTACCTATGCACGCTTGGCAGATGGCGTCATGGGAGCTGGTTTCGCTTCCCGGTGGGTGAGGCCTGACAAAACGAAGGGTTGGCAATGACGTGGATGGTTGCACGCTGCAGTGCCAGAACTAGGCGTTTACAAACAAGTAAACCGTTGGTTAGTAACTGGTTTCTAACACAGTTTGATTTTCGAAATACAGTTGGATCAAGATGCGATCATGCTGAACAATGGTTGAATCGTTTCGCCAGACAAACATAAAATCAGTTTGGTTTTGTTGGCACATTTTTTTAACGGCAGACATTTTTCCTTGGCCCTAGTCTCGCAGGTGAAGTGAGTTCGTCCCAAAATCACCCAATTCTGGGTTCTAAGTTGAACATGATTGTTTTGAAGAGGCCCATCTTGGAAGACACAGGAGGTATCTGCATGCCACAATGATGTGACGTCATAATTTGCTAAATCTTAATGTGCACATTACAAAGTGACGATCCCTAGATGGATAAGGTGGTTGACTGAGTGGACACAACTGCAAAATTTAATTGTTCAATGGGTGAAATGTTAGCCGTGTGAAAAAGGGCTGGTGCGGAACGTCACGTAAAAAGAACAAATGTCGGAAGTCGGAAATAGTCCAGGTTGTATTCAGCATGTTGGTAACAAACAATTCAGAACCATTTCCTTTGAAAGAGTAGCAGTATCACCCAACAAAAATATTTTAGCCATAAACGAGACTTGTTTCTGGCATTAAACCACGAGCCAGTCACCGAATATTTGTTCTCCTGACGTTGGCAGACTCGGCAGGCCTTTTCAATTCCTAGTGCTGTACCAGGCTGCAGTCGGGTACCAGGATGGTTGAGGGACCTCACGGTGGCCGAAGCCTGGAATGATGAGAATTGGATTCGGGGAATTATGCCAATATAACCTTAATTCATGTTAGTGAATTTTTGAGATTTACCCAAAAACATGATTTGCAGGAAAACCTTCCGTTGAGTGTGATGTTGTTTCCCTTACATTCTCATGTTTTTTTCACCGCATGGATTTCTGGCCATGGTTGGGTTTATTGATTGCTGAGGGATATCTGCAACTGTTATGTTTTTTTGACTATATATATATATTATTATGTAATTATATATGTGTGTGTGTTTTGTACCCATGATATGTTATGCCTCAGTCATCGAAAGTACCTCGGTAAAGCTGCGGATCAGTTCGCCCATGGAATATCATGGAAGCCCCTTCTGTCTGCCTCAAAATAGGTGGCTTTCATTTAAGTTCATGCAGGTTCACACATCCCAAATATACACATCCCAAGCTATGATAGGTGATTTTTCTGGATGAATTTGACCATGACCTCACTGCGACGTCAGGTCGCTGTCATCACAGCTCTGACATTGGGTCAAGGTTTCTTCGCTCTCCAGCAGCTCTCTGGACGGGATGATGGTGATGGTGGGATCCCACGATGGTTCATAAGGGAAACTCCTATTAAAATTGATGATTTAGGGGTACCCCCCAGTTTAGGAAACTTCAAAACATGGGACCATCAAACATGGGTTCAGGACATGTCAGCACCTATCATTCTCCTGTATTTGGGTGCATGAGCAGTGATGAGGTTCCGTAAGTGCCAGTGCCAGCTATTTGAATACTTTAAAATTTGGCTCCTACCTTCAGGACGAGGTCATTCTCTATTGCTAAATCCTTTCTTTTGAGCAGGCAGCAACTAGTACTGTTTTCCGACGTTTGGGGTATGCATGGAGTTTGAGGTTATGGCTTGCTTTCAAAATGGCCAGTTGCGTCTGGGTCACATTGTTAGGTAATGGTTTGCTACTAAGCGATTGCCGGCCGGGTACTGTTCGGTTGGTCACTGTAATGGTTGACCATAAATGAATCCCTACCCTAAACGGAGATCGCGGATCAAGCTGGAACCCATTGAGACGACCCCGACCTGATCCAGGGGTTTGGTCTGGACCTTGCGATGGGAAACACACCAAAATTCTTCAAAACATAACATAATTTGTACATATTTGTACTACCGCAACAAAGCCTTCACATATCACTGAACGCCATACTGAACGCCATCACATACCAGCATATGCCAGCATACATCACATACACATTAACGAGTACATACCACAAAGATCCCGTGAATATGCCGATACCATTTGTACGCATTTGTATGGTGAACATACCTGGGATTTGCTTTATTTTTTTTCAACGTGTTCAACGAAATATCATGAGTACGCCAAACAACTTCATCAATGTCAACCCCGGATTAACAAACCCCAATGCTATTTGATTTGGGTGGTACCAAGGAAGTTCACACAAAAAGGAGGGGACCCAAAGAATTTACCTAAACAATTGGTTGATACACCAGCTATCCCATGAAATCCCTATTGTTGGTTCAGCCACCAGTTTCCCATGGTAAAAACCTCTGGTTTTTGCTGGACGCCCCTCGGAGGACATGTGCCCATCTCCCTTCCCTGGTGCACCACGCTGGGTGGCCTCGTGGTGGCCATGGTCTCCCTGTGTCCCTCCATCGCTGATATGTGGAGCCTGAGCGCCTGGGTGAAAGCCGGAAAAGATAGATAGATAGACAGACAGACAGATAGATAGATAGATAGACAGATAGATAGATAGATAGACAAGATAGATAGATGCACATAACCAACAACATGTTTGGTTGGATTACTTTGTTGCGGAACAATGGTATATAATGGGGTTTAAGTCGTTTTTTGGGGTTAATGGGATATTGATCGGTTTCCCAAGATTCAACAAGAAGTGGGGATATGGATACTTGATATTCTCTGAGATATGCCGCCGGCAATATGATATTTGGGTCTGTCTGAAAATGAGGAAGGGACATAAGTTTTGCATGATGTATATATATATATATAAACAACGCAGAAATTTCTGGTTGCGGGGATATTCGCAGAAGGATTTACCAGCGATTTGTGTGATATAATGGTGATTTTTTGAGACATATATAACCATCAATGTGATATTTGGGTGTGTCTGAAAATTGGGTATACCTCAAAAGTGTTATTTAAATGAAGACAAGAAGACTGTTGTCTAATCGAAGTTCAATCAAAAGAAAAAATGTTTACATTGATGAAAATTATGCTACTCAGAAAAATGATGATTTATCAATGAGCATGTTGAGGAAGCATTGTGTTTTATCGCTTTTTGTGTTTTATTAATCCTTTTTCTGAGTGAAGATGGTAAAGTGAAAGTGTTTGATCCATTCAAGCAGGGGTTGAATTGATACGCAGGTGATCTCTAGCGATGGAATTTGGAGTTCATTTGCAAAAAAAAATGGAGCTCACTGTAAGACTTATCTGCAAAAAATGAAGTTGCGTCATGGGAAATGAGGGTTGTCATGAAAAAAAAGGAGGATGGCAGTTTCCTCCTACGTGATGGCCGCTCAAACCTTAGATACGTTTCCGACATGTAATATAGGCATTGTTTTGCACGGCCACGTGCACAGTTCAACTGATTTTCTTACAATAAAAATTAAGATGGTTTTGTGCCAATCAAATTTACTGGGAGATCTATGTGCAATTTAAATGTCAACTGACGGTTTTTTTTCCCATGGAAATTGGTAGTGTATTGAAAACAATGTGTAAAGGCAGAAATTGTGATTCTATCAAAAAATGGTGCCAAAGATAGTGTATAATTCCAGTTTGGACCCATGACATTGCTCACTTTGGGGATCTAAACTATTAATCTGGGTTCGCCTGCTTTGAGCCACAGAGATTGATCATTCCGACCCATCTCCCATCTCCTTCTGCGGAAGCCTGCGTTGAAAAAACATGTTCCAACTTGTTTCGCCATCTTGCCCCCCAATCAAAAATCACCAAAATTCAACAAATATATTTGGTTCCCAGCAAGTCACAAAAAGGCAGGATTTGAGAATTTCTCCAAAAATCATAGTTTTGATGACTTTGTTCCCCAAAAATAACCCCAAAAATCCACCAAAATTCGCCAAGGTCTGCTGGGTTTCCTGACAGCCCTCGCTTTCGCCGTGTGCGTGCTGTGGGCGTGCAGTGCCATCGTGGCCTCGGGCAATGCCGTGGGCTTGGGCGAGGACTTCCACGACGTGGCTGCCATTGAAGCGTGGGACGTGGGAAATGATGAGGAAATGATAGGGAAACCATGGGATCCGGGCGCTGGCCACGCAGCCCGTGTCCTTGCCGAAGGTTATAGGCGCTGCCGCCCCTGCCGCCGACCCACCTCCGAACCACCCCCGTCCCACTCCCGGTCGACTGAAGCCTACGTAATTTACGGTGTTTTGTGCTTGCGGTGTTCAAAAACATCCTTTTTTACGGTGTTTCGGGCCCTTGGCGATGTTACAAAACCCCAACATAGGCCAACATAGGCCCAACATAGCCAACATGGTGCCAAGATTGCTTGGCCGGCACCCGGCTGTCAGGCGTAAGCCTTTAAATCATGGGAAACTCATGGGGAAATCACGGGGGTTTGAAATAAGCAAACACTTCTATGGGAACATGATTGGATATGATTGGAAAATGGGAGTTTGAACAAATTAAAAATATGGTGAAATTTGGAGGGGTGAACCATGAAAATATCGAGGTTTCACCGTCCCAGGAATTGGATTAAGTTTGATTTGAGAATCATAATATGCTATGGGTAAACCACCTGGTGATGAACACTTTAAGTACTACAGCAACTAAGTTTTCGCTCCTAAAATGGGGGAAGGGGGACTGACAACTTATATGGGAAAATACCGAGTCATTTGCAATTTGCATGAATTTGGATTTTGGAAGAAGTGGTTCATGTACCAAAACTGGTGAGTAAAGCAGGATAACTGCGAATTTAGGGCTTGGGACGTGGTGGGCAGGGTGGGGCATTTTCAACCAAAAAAGAGGGTAGGTGACCATCTAAAGAAATTGGATTGCACACCAAACTTGAATTGCGCGGCCAAGCGCGCAGTTCAACAGTTGTTTATTGAAAAATGTCAGTGGTTTACGGGTTAAACTTCAACCATCAATATTATATATATATATGTGTGTGTGTGTCCGACCCATATGAGGTTGGTGGTCACGTCCCATTATACCCCTGGACTGGCGGATTGATCCAAATTTCCTTGAAGGTAATAACCCCCACCCCACAGAAGGTCTAATCATATCCTTGAGAAGGTTTTCACCCCCCAAAACAATGAGCAGCAAAACCAAAAATGGGATTGATAAGATTTGGAATGGGATTCATGAGATTTATTATGATAAATGTTTTGAATCCATTGGTCTTTCAATGGGATTCATGGGATTTAGTATGAGAAACGCATTGGTTTTCCATTGGTGTTCCATTAGTTTTTGAATCCAAAAAATAGGATTTTCCAAAGGGGTGTTGTTGAATAGGGGGTGACCAGCCATGTGGATTTTACGAAAGAGAGGGACCAACCGTAATTGGTTTACCGCAGGAGATCCCATGTTTTCGATGATCCCAAGCAGTGATTCCGGGGCTCAATGATATATTGCAATCACCATTGACATTATATAAATGTATAAATGGGATATATATCATATATAGTGATATAGTGACAGTATATCAATTTTATAAATGACATTATATATATATATAGAGTGATATATATATATATATATATATATATGGTTGCAATTTTTGAAATGGGATATAGTGTCATATCGCTATAATTGGAATATCATGAGAATATCATGGGGATATAGTGATAAAGCAGGTATATAATGTCCATTGCAATTGTATGCGTAGGGGTTTCCATAAATGGGGGATACCCAAAAATGAATGGTTTATAAGTTTTATAAGGGAAAATTCTATGAAAACGGATGATGATTTAGGGGTACCCCCATTTATGGAAACCACCACATGCGAAAAAAAACGCGACTTTCCGGTTTGCTCAGTTGGTTCATATTCATTGTATACGTATCCGATGGTTTGGTTCCATACCCTCTGGTAAACTAACATAGCTATGGAAAATGGCACATTTATAGATGGCTTTGTTAAACATGGTGATTTCCTATAGCTATGTTAGTTTACCAGAGAGTAAATGCCTTTTCAATAGAATAGAAGAAAATTTCCATTGCCACATACAATCTACAGCCATTTCTCGTGTATCCAATCACAGTGTTGCTTCTATAAATATATATCATATAGCACCTTGGCCCCGCCCAGTTATAAGTTCCTTTATAAACACCATTCACTACAGTTATTTGCGTATCATAAACCATTCACCATAGTTATTTTCGTATCATAAGCCATAGAAACTATAGTTATTGATGTTGTTTCCACCAAGGCCATAGCTATCGTTTGGAGGGCCCCCTCGCTTGAAAAAACCTCCGAGGTCAGCTTGGGTCGGCCCACAGGCATCGAAGGACCTGATCGCATCTTTGGTGTCCCTTGGGCCCCAAGTTTGGTGCCCCATTGGTGAGCGAAGCTGAAACGGAAGTTTGATGGAGAATGGTGAAGTAACCATAAAAACTCGTGGTTTTATGAGCGAACCATGAGAACTGATGGGTGGGTTTTGCATGAAAAATATGAACAATTCAATTCATGGAACAAATAGCCAGTTTACAGCTGATTTATGATCGCTTAGTTGGTAAACATACCTCCAAGGACTCTTGGGTTTATGCTAGATACCCAACTAGTTAAGTTGGTGGTAACAAAAGCAACAAACATAACTTGGCACCTCCTTTCGGATGACCCAAAGATCCCAAGCAACTGTGGGTGTTGCGGCAACACATCCCACAGTTCCATAAGGTGGCCGTGGGAACATCAGACGCCGAGGTGCTGAATAGCTTTGGGATTTTGGCCTTCTCCTACGGCGGCCATTCCGTGCTTCCCGACGTGCAGGCGAGAAGATGCTGGATGGGGTTTCATTAGGACTTTGTCTTGGTTTATATGGGGATTTGCCGATAGTAACAAGAGGTTCGTGCTTCTGAGCGACAATTCCGAACACTCAGGTTAAATATATGATTGATAAGTTGTTTTTTTCGCAGCAAGGTTGGTTCTGCTGGTTAGATATGATACTGTGGTGGCAAAAGGGATCCTTGGTCACAGTTGAACATTGTATCCCATATGAATTAGATTGCAATGTGTAAGACAAATATCTTCATGAACCACACTGATTTAACTATACTTCATAATGTCGGCATCGGATTAGGCTAATATTATAGATAAACCTATAGATGAAATTTCAATGTTTACCAGGTACTCTTACATGTAAAATTATCCCTGAAATATCCCTGAACACGAATAACAAAAAACAATTCTTTGTTTCATTTTTTCATCTATCATTGGATTGGTTTACGGGAAAATCTACTGGAAATAAACATATTTGGTGGGAAAAGCCATGGTTTCCGGTGTAGATTTTCCCTTAAAACCCATTGATTTCAACAACTTGATGACTCACCCCGCTGGACGCCCATTTTCCAGGCCACTTTGCAAGCCTCGATGTCGGGCCACTGGGATGCTCAGAGGGCAATGCAGCGCGCATTGATTTGGGCCTACGCAACTGGCCGGGTCGTCGGGTCGTGGAGCGTTAAGTCTGAGGAGAGACGCCCCAGGGGTACTCTGGTGATTGGAAAGGGAAAAATGACAAAACTGGTGGTTTGGAACATGACTTTTATACTTTTATGACTTTCCCATCAGATTGGGAATGTCATGATCCCAACTGACGAACTCATATTTTTCAGAGGGGTTCAAACCACCAATTAGACAATGACATACAATGACGAACCGTTTGGATAGGGAAACATGGTGAAGAATGGTGATGAATACTACCCTAAGGCTCTAGGGTATGTCACTAGGAGAGGCCAGCCCCTGCTGAGCACGTACCATACAGTTGATACCTGCTGAGGAGGGGGCATGGTATGTCATGGGCTGTAGGAACTATCGGGACGAGGGGTCGTGATAGTTAGATGGTTCTTTGTTCATGGCTCATTTGCGTGTGCTCTCAACAGTCTTGGCACTGCAAAAGAATTTATTTGACCAAACACCATGGGCTGGAAGATCATACAGTTTACTCGTATTTTTGAACAATTCATTTGAGTTTTCGGATTCCTAGACTGCAGCATGCCTAACATACCCATGTGGCTGTGTGCGACTTTGGGTTGGCGCCGTCTATGCCGCGGAATCTCAGAGCACATCTCCAAGGCGAGGGTCATGCGGCTTACTGTGCGGGTGTGAAACCTGAATGAAAACATATGAGATACATCTTAGATGGAAGGGTAACAAAAAAGTGAGATAATTACAAGAGTTGTGGAGCTGAGCCGGAGGGTTTGTGGTCAGACCATGTAGCATGCAATGGGTTTGCCTATGTTAGCTACCTCGGCTCAGTGTCCCCGGCCTGAAAAAAAAAACCGTTGGTTGTGCCAATGGGAGAGACGAAAAGTACGCACATTGTGGTGTGCAGCTTGTCTTGGCCAGTCATTCAATAGGCAGCTTCAGGTATCAGCAGTATGTGTGTACGTTCAATTTTTGTTTTCAATGCTGGCGGTTTTGATCATTACCATACCTTTGACAAAGTGTTTTAAGGCTGTTTTGGCATACATTCCAGCCCAAGACCTGAGGCATTATCAAAGCCTTCCTTCCAACCAGGGCCTTGTTTGAATGTGAAGAACGCAAACCTCCGCATAACACTACCTTCGGTGGGGTAAAGAATGTTACGTCCATCTCGTATGGTGATATGACGAAGTATCTCCACCTGATCGTTGGACTATGCGAGTTGTCGCCAGAATGCTACATGGCTGTTAGGGCTGCGTGCGCTGATAGGGCTTTGCCGGTATAGCATAGGTGGTATGATATACAGTAGAACTGTTTGCAACTTCTTTTTCTGAGGTGAATTCACCGTTGCTGATTTTCAAAGCGCCTACATGCACCTAGATGACGAGTTGGACAATAAACTTTCCAAATGTAACAAAGTGTTGCGCATAAAGAAGAGGTGGGCTCTGGATGACCTTTGGCTGCAAACATTCAAAAACAAACAATACCTTTCCATGCGCTATGTTTTTTTTCTTGTGCGTGCAGCACTATAGGAGGCGTACGTGTTGTTCGGGCTGATGAGCTATGCTCGAGCATATTGGAGAAAAGCTTGCAAGAGAAAGACTGGTGGTGATGTGGCATGCCTAAAAAATAGTGCATCATGTAACTTTATGTATGTATGTGTGTGTGGGTACCAGAGTTGTTTTGTTTGCACATATCCCACCGTGCTCTGTGTGTGTGTGCGTGTCTAGGTCGCCAACAGATTGCGATGTGTTATGAAAGCCAATCCGCGTCGTGCGCGCCCGATGTGCCGAAAGTCTTCTTCAAATGTTGGAGACGCTGGTGGTGGGGATGATGTGGAGTTTGTTGGTGAACGTCTTTGCGGGGGTGGGATCTACTCAATCCAAGCAGGTTCGGACTTCTGTTGTTTTTTTTTCCTTTCTTTTGCCAGCAGAGATGGGTGCCACCCCCGGTGCTGCCCCTCATCTCAGGCATTGTTGAGGACGATGACCGAGCAGCCTCGTCATCAGCTCCCCCCAGCATGACCGAAGAGGAAAGGAAAACACTGCTGTGGGTGGTATGGATGGAATAGTCTAATAGGAAAAATTGACATAGCATGTCTTGCTATGCAGACTTGATAATATGTTCTGCCGGTGGGATTCACCAAGTTATAGCCTAGCCAATCCAACATGAGGTACCCTAAAACCATGGGTTTCAATATATTATATCATCACCTTTCTTCGGCCATTTTGATGTATATATGCCTTCCCTGCTTAGCCGTGCAAGGAGAGAGAAAAATGGCGGAATATGCCCTACGCACAGTCTCGCGGGGAAGATGACTTCTCACCTTTTCCACCAGACAGCCCAGCGCCGGAGCCAGAGGATTGGCTGGGTGGTATATACTTCAAACCATATGCATATGCATATCAACCAGCATGACACTATATATATATTTATATATATAGACATAGATATATAGAAATAAATACATATAGATATATAACAGAAAAATACGCACATATATATATACATCTATATATATATATGTGTACACATATTAAATTTATGTACATAAATCAAAAGGAATATATATATATATACATATGTGCGTGGGTGTGTGTATGAGTGTTCCATCCCCTGATGCAGGAGCCTGTGGTTGAGATTGATGACGACATCTGCCCAAACCACAGTTTTGATGAACCACCCAATATCTTACAGAACCTTTTCCACCCCTTCGGTTTCCCATTTCTCAAAAACAACGGACTTTAAGGTGAGATGGATGCAGAGACCCTTCGTGAAGCTGTGGAGCTATCAAACCATGTGATCCAACAAATTGATGGTCACCTCAAGGACATTGAGGTCATTGATGGAATTATCCAGTCACTGGATGCGGTTTCTCAGCCTCAAGATGTCCCCGTGTTTTTCCTGAACACCAAGCCCCGGGGCTTTTTGAATCCGTTTCCACATAAACAAAATTATATACATAAGTATCTACATATACATGAGATTTATATCGATTATATATGTATGTATGCATGCATGCATGCTGGAGAAAACACATCCTATAGTGATATCAACCTCGCTTGCCCAGGATGGAGATTCCCAGCTTTGTGCATCGCTTCCCTGCACGCCCACTGAGCTGGAAGCCTCTCACACCGCTGCCGTCATTTCTTTAGATGATGAGATGGAGGCCTGCCAGTGCGCGGCTGAAAGTAAATAATGTACCATATGTATTAGAATGGCCAACCGGTTTACATAGATTTGGCCCAACATATGAATGCTGCTTTCACGTATAAAATGGACCAACTAGCGTCATCAAAAATGCTTAGAAAAATGTTCTGCAGGTGTGTAGTTGACCAATGGTTGAACATTCATTGAAGAGTCATGATATATCATAAGCAGTTTCTTTGACTCTTTTATAGTATGTGAAATAACTATCACTTAAATTGCGGTTCCGAAAAAATGTGTTCCATGCAGCAAGATTCCATGCAAATAGATTTTCAAACTGGACAGTTTGTGGCCCCCACATTTTTTAATATAGTGGTGATCAGGAAAAGGGTTTGGAACCCATATTTCTTTTGGAACCTCCATTGAAAGGGAATTTCCTTTATGATGATGCATGACATCTTAATTTTTTGGGGGTGTTGCTATATAAAAAACAACTTAGGTTTGTCTTTATTTGGATTTGCAGGGATCTCATATGTAAAACCCTCTGCTATATATATATATATATAGTAATTTTCAATTAAATATTGTCATGCATGTTATACGATGAAAAACCCGCATCCCATCCGGCTAGGTGACACCCGCATTCCAGTGCCATGTCATGTTTACCCTCGGCCTGATGTGAGCTTTGGGTGTTCCAACCTATGACGCAGGAGCCGTCAGCTTGCACACCAGAGAGATTGCCAGAGACATTCCCCGAAGAGGCCCCCTTCAAGGACACACCCGCATTCCAGCGCCATGTCATGTTTACCCTGGGCCTGATGTGAGCTTGGGGGGTTCCAACCTGTGACGCAGGAGCTGTCAGCTTGCACACCAGAGAAATTGCCAGAGAAAATCCCCGAAGAGGCCCCCTTCATAAACCTTGATGACAGTCATGTTGGCATGCATTTTTTTTTCTCTGGGCCGGGCAACCCCTCTTCACTATGTGCACCCTGCTTCGCAGGTCTGCAGCGAAGAGCCATTGAAGCCCGAAGGCATTGAGGCCCACTGTTCCACATTCATGAAATTTAGACGGGCATGATGCGTGCAAGAAACATATGATCAGCTTAAATGCTCACAGCATAGCAAAATATAATAAGCAACCTTTAGGAATGCGTCATCATGCACATATATTCGAACATGCGGAGAATGTATGATTTGGGGGGTTCACACCTATTAGGTTTAGGTGTTCTGTTGCCCCAGGCCCCATGTGCTCTAGTGTTGGGTCTTACCGTCTTACCAAATGCCCAGTCCATGTCTGCAGGTTGGCCCAGTGATTACCCATGATGTGGACCCTGCACCTTGCCTGCATCAAAGTGTTGCCTTGTTTGGCCTGGCCAGCGGGGCTGAATTATGTTTATGGATGGCATCGCTAGGCAAAGTCTGGCGACTACAAGTATGGGGCTGCCGCTACTGACACTCCATTTGCTGCAGCTTTGGTTGAAGTTCACAAAAGTGATGCGACCCCCAACTTTAGCCAACAGGGTGCAGCCGTTGGGAAAACCAAAGGTCGTAAAGCTAGGAAGAAGGTTGATGAGAAACCAGCCCCTTCAGAGGTTGAAGCAGGTGGGGATGATCAGGAGAAACCAGCCCCCAAGAAAGCACCCAGAAAGCGCAAGACTGCATCTGCCACAGCCCCTGGGGAACCAAGTGGTGGTAGTGAGAATGTTGGCAAGAGAGCCCGACGATCAAGACCCACGTCCAAAGCCGATAAGGAGCCAATAACATACTGCACCATGCACTTATTTTTTGGGGACTTGTGACGGATAATGTCAACCCCGGATTAATAAACCCTGGTTTATTAATAAGGGGGGTACCCTTCCAATAGTCATAATATGATACTTAAATGGTACCCTCCTAATTAAACAACCTAGGGGTTTATTAATCCAGGGTTGACATTATACAGGGGCCATATGTGAAAAGAAAACATATCCACAACATGTGTATAGGAG